CTGTTCAACACCACGAACACCTCTTCCCTGGCTGTACAGATTTCTCACTTCAATCTGGACTTGATATGTGTAACAGAAATGTGGGTGTCTCTCAGGATCACTCCTTCCTCTCTTTTTTTCCTTCCTTTTTTCAGTACTAGGGACTAAACCCAGGGCTTCATACCTGCCCGTAAATGCTCTGCCCCTGAGCCACACTCCCAGCTCCTAGACGTTCTTCATCCTTCCTCTACAGCACAGCCTCTAAGGGATATGGTCAGAACTGACTCCATATTTTGTTAAGCCTGCCGGGGTGATCACATGCTCCTTGACACAGTGACAGGTTCAGATAATCTGAGCTGGAACCAATTTATGAGTTCATGAGGCAGGGACAGGAATGGACCAATTAGACCCAAACTTGAACTGTGTGAGGGTTATAAAAAGGGCATGCTCTTATTTTCTTGTTCTATTTGAATGACGAAACATGGAGCCTGCAGTGATACTGGCTACTAACCTATGACCACAAGATAATCAACCCGGAAACATCACTGAAAGGAGAAATGGAAAGCCACTGCGTCCTTAGCCCACCAGCCTGGAACAGCAGCTGCCCTGGACTTCACTGTGTGAGCCAACTGTCCTCTCTAGACAGAATCCATCTGAATTGATTTTCCAGTTCCTTGTAACCAAAAGCATTTTAAGTGCTGTAGCTGGCAGCAAACATGGTCACATGAGCTTTGAAGATTCTCTTCCTGGGGCTTCAGGTAGAGAATTAAACAGCAGAGATAGAAAGGAGATATTCTAGGAAGCTGTTCTAGAAGCCTGTGTTCTCTATACCCTGGGGGGATGGAGAGAACTTTCAAAGGTTCACCATGGCTGCTGGCTGAAGTGTGAAGTCATTTGTGGTCACAGATGGCAAAGCTCATGGGCCCTGACAAGACAGCAAGAATGGCCCAGCAGGGCCTGTGCTAACCCAGATGAGCTCCCTGAGGAACAGGGGCAGAAAAGGGAACAATCAGAAATCAGTCAGAAGGCTCACTGTACTTCACAGGACACTGCCTGCAGGATGCACTCTCATTCCCCACTCTGGGCCAAAGTGCTGACCCTCCAAGTCTGAAACACAGCAGACGCTACAGCTGGGAGTACAGCCTCTGTGGACAGACTCAAATTGTGGCTCCAACACCTGCTGGAGGGCTAAATATTGGTTCAAATGACTCCAGCTCATCTGCACCTTGGTTTCTAAAACCTGAAGTGAGCATAATAATATCCACTTCACAGGATTTAGTTTGAGGACTCAACAAGTCAATATAAGTAAAGAACTTTGAACATTGCCCTGCACAGGTCAAGAATTTAGAAGTTAGGAGTTATTATCATGCTTGCAATACTCTCTCCTAGGAAAGTGGTACTGGTCACTGTCAGCTCTCTCCTAAATAGCCAGATCAATTGTTCCATGACCCACAGAGCATGCCTAGCTACAGAGTGTCCTCCTGGCTGCCTTTACTGGGTTGTCTAGGAGTGATTTCCTGCCAGAGCTCTGGACCACAGAGCAGCTTGTCACCTACAGAGAGTGAGGTTTTCCTCCAGGACAGTCACTTGTCCTCTCCCCAGGCTGCAGATGCCCATCAGAAGAAATACAGGAGCCCTTCTTGCTCCCTTGGTACAGCTGGCTCTCAATTTTTTATATCTACTCATCATTGATTTATGATAGCAGAGAGACAATAATCATCAGACTGCTGCTTCCGGGAGACAAAAAAAATAGTATCACTACTTATGGGAGAACTCTGGTATGCCACAGAGCTTAGCCATGGGCTGGGATATGCAAGCATATTCTGACTTGCCTAAGTGAATGGCATGGATGGGGATATAGCTCAGTGGCGCAGGTGCCTGCCTGGCAAGCACAAGGTCCTGAGTTCGATTCCCAGTACCAGTACCAAAAAAAAAAAAAAAAAAAAATGAATGGCAGCTCAAGGGCAGAATGGAAATAAGAATGGTCCAGGGAAGGAGTCTTACTACTTATTACAGAAGTGGCATCTTGAGCCTGGCACCGCCATTTTACCAGATCTACTTTCCGAGGCTCATCCCCCTTCAGTCCCCAACCATGGATCCCCAGGCATCAGCCCATGAGGGCCTCCAAGAAAGCCTTCCTCAAGCCCTGCCCCAGCTCATGTGGTGGAGACCACCATGTCTTCCCCAGTACCCATTTCTTCTATAAGAAAAGCACATTTTCTAGCTTCCCTAGAATGAGGAATGACCAGGTGCTAGCATTCTGGCCTAAGGCATATGAGCAGAAGTGACATGTGGCACTTCTGGGTTATGACCTTAAAGGAAAGTATCATAACCTTCCTTCCCAGTGGCAGACAGGCTCACCATCTTGGACCACAAAGAGACACAATACCTAAAGCCTCATGGGACAACAGGGAGAAAGCTAAGCCAGCCACCTTCAGGGCCACAGCAGACCTGCAATGAGTAGGCTGCAGTCTGATCTGAGAGGGAAATCAATTTCCATTTGCTTTAGCCAGCTATTTGAGTTCTCTCTGTTACGGCCCTAATATTTTTATCTAATTAAGCTCATGCTGTTCTCTCCCCTTTAAGGAAGTGAGGTATGCTCCTGTGAGAAGGTCATCTAATAGCACAAGAAAAGGTGCAGATGGCAGCCACCACAACCATAAATGCTAGCTCTGGTGCCCTCAGGTTTATACTGGCTTAAAGCCAAGGTTTACCTAGGATGAGATTGATTCAAATAGGTATGGCAACAGGTAATAAACACAGCTGATGCTCTCTCTGACCTGAGAATATTCCTTCTGAGCTAAGCCTCTATGTAGGACTGAACTTACCTATATAGAAATAAACCCAAACCCAAGAAAGCTTGAGGTAGCTTCTGCAAGAGAATTTACTAAGTGAAGTCTACTGTACTGAACTTCACTTGGAAAAGCAAATCTATATTCACTTACGCAACTAAATGCCTGCTGAAGGAAAAGGGCACATCAAGTGACAGAATTTAGAAGGCTGGAGTCAGAAGGGGCATGTTAGGGACAGATAACTGGTTACCACAACTATCTAACTTCAGCCTTTAAGGCCTGGATTAACCAGCTCTGGGTGCTATAGAACACTAAGACTGAGTGGCTTAAGTAACAGACATTTATATTTCAGTACTGGGAGGAAGCACAAAATTGGTGTCCTGGACAATTTAACTGCTGGGGAGAGACCTCTGCTGCATCCTTGCATAACAGTGAGGGATGTCTCTCTATGGACTCTCATAAGGACATGAAGATCCTAAGCTCATGATCTCATCTAAACTTAATTACTCCTGAAGGTTACTTCTCCAAATATCATCACAGAGACTAGGACTATAACATATGAATAGGGAGGCTGGAGCTGGGGATTTAGCTCAGCAGCACAGCACCTGCCTGGCAAGTGCGAGGTCGTGAGTTCAATTCCCAGTACCAGAAAACAAACAAACAAACAAACAAACAAAAAAATGAATTGGGAGGTTAAGAGTGGAGAGGGAGAGCAGGGACACAACTCAACCCACAACAAAATTGAAATGTCACCTTCTGCTCTCCTTCTAGTCTCTTCCCTGTAGGGAAAAGCTGCATCTGCATTCCCACAGCACTTTATGTTTCTAAAATAGAAATGGGACCTTTTTACAGGGTTTATGTGGTTTTCGCTCCACACAAAAGGGCCTTGTCTCAATCACACCTCTTCTTCCACCATTATCTTAGAAAGGAAGAAGCTAGGCGTGATGGCACACATCTGGAGTCCCAGCACTAGGGAGGCTGAGGCGGAAGGATCGCTGTGAGTTTAAGGCCAGCCTGGGCTACAAAGTGACCTCAGGGTCAGCCTGAACTGCATAGCGAGACCCTGTCTCAAAAAGATAAAAAAAAAAGAAGAAATGAAATGAGAGTTTATATACTCCATAATACCACTACTGTGGTTTGTACACAAAATAAACAGTGCTGTCAGAAAGTATCTTCAACTGGTCAGGCATTGTGCCACATATCTATAATCCTAACACTTAGGAGGCTGAAGCAACAGGGTAACAGTAAGCTTGAGGCAGCCTGAACTACACAGCAAGACCTCGTCTCAAAAAGCAAGAGACCTTGTCTCTTTAACTGCAATTAAGAGGTAAAAAGAATAAACATCTGCACTCAGCAGCAGAATCAAATATCACTTTTTAGTTCTTTTGTGTTTTCATCCTGCTGCCAGGGATGGGGCACAAGTTTGGGAGGGCAGAATGACAGTACCTATTCTGTTCTGTTTTCCCACTGGCTTCCACAGGAGGCTCCTTGCCCGAAAGCCCCACTCATCCTGAGAGCACCACAGCCTTCAACAGTACGGTCAGGCTCAGCTTGGGCATGACTTTCCCACACCCAACCTATTTTTCAGCACGCACAATGTTCTCAGCAAAAACTGCAGCACAGTACAGGCACTGCCCTGGGCAAACACAGGACAGGATGTCATAAAGAAGAAATAAGGCAGAGCACGGATCTTCCCAGTGCCAGGACACCTGACAATATCCACACATTGTTACCAGACACTCTGAGAACTTCAATCACTGTATCTGCTCAGGCCTCCTCACATGATGTCCTTCGCCAGACCTTGGATGACACCTTGCCGAATCTCCTCACCAACCCCTTCTTCAAGCCTTCTAAGACAGCCCCACTTGTCTTTGTGTTTGTTCCCTGCAGTCTTTTCGCCCACCATCTGCCTGCACCCAGGTATATTCAATCTTGTGCCTCACTGCCTTCACAGAAGCCTGTCCGGTGGTCTCTGACTCAGGACTCTTGTTACAGGTAACTTCCTCAAGGTAACTTAGGCAGCAAAAGGAAGAGACAAGGCTGAGAGTTGGGTATCCCTCCTTCCCCCACAAGGCCCGTGACTTCAGCTTACAACTTCTAAGGATCACTTATCACTTTCAGTCTAATGGAATTCAACTGAACTAGAACAATCTTTCTGTGTCAGAGACACAAGCACTGTGACTAAGCAGTAGAGCCCTCAATGACACAATGCAGAACCAAGACACTTACTTGGGGAACTGGCGGAGACCCGCTTCCGGGTCACACTCTCTTGGCTGGCCTTGTCAGAAGCTGAGGAGCCCCTCGTTTGGACATGCCTCTTCCCCGGGCTCTCGTCTGGCTCTGGTGACTTCTCCATCCCATGGAAATACTTCATGTGATAATGCAGCAGTTTAGCTTTGCGAAAAAACTTTAAACAGTCCACAACCTTGCATCTAAATTTGTGGTCCAGGTCGACTGCTGACACATTAGATGTCACAAAATCATCTGTTTTCTTAAAAGTATTTGGTACTGGAAAAAAAAAAAAAGCAAAGATCCCTTGTGCTTATCCTAGTATTGCAAAATATGCATTAGCATACAGCAATGGGAAATGAAAGAACGGCATGCATATGTAGCCAGAGACACCAAGCAGACTGTCAATACTTCCTAACATTACTGCTTGACAAGAATAAATACAACTTCAGGTAAACAACTATGATTCATTCATCTTTATAAGGAAAATATCAGCATGTTTACTTTAACAAGCCTTATAAGTTCTCAGAGTTTCACCGACTTTGGGAGAAAAATGGGAAAATCCTAAAGAAAATCAGGAATCTTAAGCCAGCATTTGTTGCTCTTGAGATGCACCAAATTCATATTCACCACCACCCTGGAGAGGGGCAGAACTAGGGAACACTCTAAGGGACGTCTTTATGAAACCTAAAGGAGGGTCAGGGATATAGCTCAGCGGCACAGCGCCTGCCTGGCAAGTGTGAGGGCCTGAGTTTGATTCCCGGTACCAAAAAAAGAAAAAAAAAAAAAAAAACCTAGGGGATTTTACAACAGTGTTTACATAACCGAAGTACAGTGTTCCAACAGTTTTAGTACTGAGCCTTGAAAAGCTCACCATAAACTTTGCTATAGCATGGACTTTATCTGGTCAAAAGGACCCAGCGATTGCAAGGAAAAACAAAACAGCAACCAAGTGGATGGAGCTGGAGGACATGAGGAAAAAATTTAGAGGATGCAATGATTAAATTCAAAGAAACAAAGTTGATTTTCAAAAACAAAATAAACAGAAGGCAATAGTGTGCCATGCACCAATAACACAAAGTAAAGCCGTCACAGGGTGTTCATGTGTGCCACACGCTGCTCACTGAAGGCTTCCTTCCCAGCAACCTCACCCACAAAGAGCAGTCACCTGAAATTCAAGTCACTTCTCCTCTACAGATTGGTTCATCCAAGAGTATCCTTAATGGACCTTTCTTGGGCAAATAAAATTTTTCCTAAAAGCAATCATATATTTTCTATTATAAGTAAATAGTATACTAAACTTCTGGTAAATGTTATGATAATTTTAATAAGCACTATTCCATAATCAGAAGAAATATTTTTAAAAATTCTTTTTTTAAATTTATAAACTTTTCATTTTTTTTAACTTTTTGACTCAGTTTAAAACAGAAACACATTGTACAAAAAAAATCACTCATGTACAAAAATTTTTCTGTTTGTGTCCTTATTCTTTTTTTTAAGACAGGCTCTCACTATGTAGCCCAGGCTGGCCTTGAACTCCCAAGTGCTAGGATTACAAGATGCACCACCACGCCTGGCTATATCCTTATTCTATAACTGTTTTCTACTTATATTTTACTTTTAAAAACATTTTTTGTTAAAGATAAAGACACAAACACATATCAGCATAAGCCTACACAGGATTAGGATCAGTATCACTGTCCTGCTCCAACATCTTGATGAACTAGAACAGCGGCAGCGAGTGAACCTATGGCATGCGTGCTGCAGCAGGTTGTGTCACTGAAAGCTCTAAAAGGTTCACTATCACTGAATTAGGTCTTCAATCCCCCATGAAAGGCTTGCCTGAGGCTCTCCTTAAGAGGTTATCACTGTCCCCAAAATAGGTCCATGGTGGTTTGCTTGTTTTGTTTTCCATCATACATTCTGTTATGTTTTGGCTCTTAAATGTCCCCCAAAAGTGCATGTGTTAAAGACTAGATCCCCAATGCACCCACATTGGGGGGGGCGCTTTGGGAAATAATTGGGTTGTGAAGGCTCTGACCTCATTAATGGGTTAATCTATTGATAGAGTCACAACTTCATGGGCTTTTCAGAAGCCTGGAAATTTTAGGAGTAGAGCCAAGTTGGAAGAAGTAACTGGTTATTAATCAGCTTACTGTCACTTTGACAAAATAACAAAGACATCAAACTAGAGGAAGAAAGGTGTATTTTGGCTCCTGATTTCTCTTATTTTTTTGGTTTTTTGAAACAGGGTCTCACTATTTAGTTCAGGATGGTCTTGAACTCACTGTGTAGCCCAGGCTGACCTCAAACTTGAGGTGATCCCTCTGCCTCTGCCTCTGCCTCTGCCTCTGCCTCATGAGTGCTGGGATTATAGGCATATGCCACCATGCCTGGCTTGGCTTATGGTTTCAGTCTGTGGTCATGTGGCCACAGTGCTTGGGCCTGTGGCAAGACAGAATATGATGGTAAGGAGTGTGGTAGAGCAAAGCTGCTCATCTTATGGTGGCAGGGGTGAGGGTGAACACAGAGGGAGGAAAAAAAGAGGAGGAGAATAAGAGAAGGAGAAAGGAGAGAAAGGGTCCTGGGACAAAATACACCCTTTATTAAGGGCATGCCTTAATAACAATGAATATAAAATCACTATGTATTATAAATATGTACTAATAAAAATTATAACAATGTTTTTAAATCTTCAACTTCTAGTTGCTTCCATTTACCTATAAAAACCTTGAGTTTGTAAGTGAAATAAATCAGACTCACATGTGTAAATATCATATTATCTCCCTAGTGTAAGAAACTGAAAGAGTAAACAAGATCCAAAATGTACAACAGATATTGTAAAAGCGAAAGAAACTGTTCAAAAGGAAAAAACAACTGGGCTACAAAGTGAGCTCAAGACCAGCCTGAACTGCACAGTGAGACCCTCTCTCAAAAAGACAATAGATAGATAGATTAAAAAAAAAAAAAGTATCCTAGATAAAACCTTAAACTTCTAATACTGTATACCCTAAAATTCTTACTTAAAAAGCAAATGATTCCTCTAGAATGACCTCCTCTTGGGCCTATTAGGTTGAATCATAAACCTGACATTTTCATACATTAAAAAGGTTAAATATTGTCCATTCCATATGGTTCAACCTTTTCTACATGGCAAATAGGCTTTCAAAAATCACTGCAGACAATTCTGTTTCAACTGTTTGAACAACACTAAGGTTTAAGGTCAAACGGCATCAATACTGTCTGTGACTATCTGAAGGCGACAGATAGTTGGTTAAGACCAGCTACAGTAAAGCCAGCCAACACTGGGCTTCTTGGAAGCCCTGATATATGATAAATTCGTTTACAACACAAAAGTAGACCACCAAAGTACTTTTCTGAATTTTAAAAGAAAATTAAAGAGTTAAAAACAAGGAATCTGAACCAATTTCACAAAGAATCACCATCCTATTTAAAAACTCCACACTCTTCTATATAAACACAGCCTATCTGCCTAGGCAAACACAGTACAATGTCTACAAGTGTGGGCTCTGCAACCAGATTACCCATTTCTAGTCCATTTTCTCCCTTTGCCTTAGTTTCTTCATGTGCAGGATGGAAATAATAGTGGTAACTACTTCACTGAGTTGTAATATTTAAATAAATTGCAACTGAGCATGATGGGTCATACCTGTAATCCCAGGTACTTGGGAGGCTAAAGCAGAAAGATCAGACATTCATAGGCCAGCCTGGGCAATGAACCCCGTCAGGCAGATGGAGGAGACAGAAGGAGGGAGGTGAGGGAGGCAGAAGAAGGGGAGGGAAAGGGAACAGAAAGGAAGGAAAGGGAAGGGGAGGGGAGGAAAGGGGAGGGAAGGGGAGGGGAGGAAAGGGGAGGGAAGGGAAGGGAAG